GGCATTAACATCATTCTCGAATGGGCGAGGGTGGATATCATCCTCATCATAAAATCACTCTACTATATCAAATCCATCAAGAAATCTCAGTCAGGATCGACAAATCATATGCAGCAGGTTTCACATAAAATCATTGTTACTTCTTAAAGAACAAAAAAATGATAACCTGTGGGTATACTCAAATCCGTGAATACCATAACGATATCCTATAACATTATAGACTTTCTTTTTTTTTTCCCCCCAAATACTTTCATCGACCTCTTCCCGCAAAGGACACAGACGTCTGCAATAATATCAGTACAATTCTCAATAAAGAAAGAATAAGGACTCCTCTTTTCGTACCAGACGGTTATAATTGAGTCGCGGGATCATTATTCTGGCCCTTGGGGTCCGACTCGGTCCCATTCGCCATTCTCCACACGTCACGACGTCTGCACATTATAACTGGCTTAAAATCATTACGAATACAAAGCGACAATGACAATGATGCTGGTGTGGCCGTCGGCTGGCCGGATGCTGAGCATCTCGGACGGTCCCACTGTCCGACAATGCCTGGATTATCTTCGGCTCTATAAAGCCGCTTCATAAACCACACCGTATATAGCCTGAACGGCCATCGGGGGCTGCGTCGGCTCTACCAAGTATCGTATAACAATATGGGTTGCAGGGTGCGTTCGCTAATATCAGAGAACTCTACGAGGCAAAGGATGGCAAAGTGAAATCGATTATAATCAAACTACGGTAGTCGGTATATACATTGATAACAAATTGAATTCCTTCATTATTATATTCCTTTCAAAGATTCTTATAATTACAATCAGACCCGAAGAAAATTATTTCTTACCCTCAATACCTATTACTCATATGAGACGTCACTCATATATGCTCCGAATTCATCCATATCGATCACGTACGATTCTACGGCCAAATTAACCAGAGCAAATTGCATCCTTTGACGCACAGACACTGCACGTTGCCTCCTCGTGGTCTTTCATACCTTCGCTTACTAACAATGAATTAGTTTCGGCTTTAACTTTCGCTTTACCGCAAGTATAGATACATATTCAAACCACGTGTGCATAGATCTGATGTATACCAACCGTTATAAATTTGACACATGGTTGAAGTCATTTAGAGCTAACTCTGTCGATTGTACCGTTCGCGATTGTCACCCCCTATAATGTAAGGCAGAGACGTTAAAATGTAAGTAAGCGAAAAGTTTCGTTCAGCTACAAGTAAATTTTACACAGTGCACACGGTAAATATTCTTATTTGCAATTTTTACTGCATTTCACGGTAAAATTTATCTGACTCAATGTAAAATTTGTCTGTTTCAGATGACTTTTTAAATTCAACAAAGTAAGAACTACAGTTTTACACTAAATATTTACAAATTTGGAAATTGTAACCGTACACTACAGTCAAAGCTGACGTCTCATGCTTACTTTTCAGTATATTTTCGTGGGTAGCTTTAAAATATATAATACATATAGGTAATACGTTATGAAATACCAAAATCGTGCTTCTCCGCTACGTCGAGAACCACCTGGATTTGATGCATTTCTCTGACTGCAGTTCGTAGGACAACCAGAATGCGTGGAGGGGCACCGATGTGAAATAACCTATAGTGTAAAGCATATATCAAGGTTAAAAGTCGGCGACGAGACAATGCAGTAGCGAAGACACAGGATCCCTTATAAAACATGGTAGGACTATACGTATTATCATACGGCTTTCGGATAAAAGCAAAATCGAATAATTTGCACATTTTTGAGGACGCTTGCGAGAAACTGCCTACGTCAAATCTCCATAATGCTTAACGAGTCGCCGTAATTTTCACCCATGACGCAAAAGACAAATGCGCCTTTACTCGAAAGATGTACTAAGTTAAGGATTTTATCCTAGAGTACTACCGGTTTATTCGTATACACTATTCAGACGCAATAGATACATCCCTGCAATAGTGTTTACCAAAGCAAAGCGCATAATTCGTTTGGTCGCCAGTTGGAAACTCCACGTATACGAAGTGCTGGTAATATTTACTCGCGCAAACAACTCGTAAATCTTATTCGCCTCGCGCTACGCGAGGAACAGCGCTTTGAGTTTTCAAATGGATACCGAGAGACGTCATTTTCCGATTGGTTATTATATACGGCATTAAAAACCGGCCTTTAGCAATCGCGTGTTCTCACGCAATAAAACTCGCGATTCCCTTTCCCAACGGTAGAAACTCTTGCGTGGCTTTAGGCTGTTTCGAAGTGTCGTCGTCGCAGCGCTGCCGTCGCTTCTTGCGAGACACGACGTCACGCCGCCTGCTTCACCGTCTTCATCACTCAGGACTTTAGGCGCACGTTGCCTTTGTCTCGTACACGATCTGTCCCTTAACGGGGAACGTCCTACAGTACCATTAGCGAGGAAACTGTAAAAATTGTAACTTACGGGCATTGACGGCGTAACGCGAGTTCGCAAGCCGCCATAGGTACCCGGACGACACAGCCGAGAGAAACAGCCCTCATTTATTTTTATCTCCTTCCCGAGTTCAGTAAAGCAGAGTTGATGCGTTGACGATGTTTCTCGCGGCACAGGAAAGTCAAGTTAATCTCGAGATTGGGCATTGTCGTGGCAACCACTCCTCGAGGGACTTTTTTTTTCCTTTCGAAAACAGTCCCATTTACCAAAAGGAAACCGCCATGGTATTGCTCGTTTGCAGTTTAATCCAAATTCTGCCCTGAGTTGAGTGGGTGGGAGGGAGGCAGATCCCATGAGATGAAAGCTACACCCTCTATACTGCAGTGCTTCCTTCGGATCTCTATACAAGCCGTAAGTATACATGCTGCGAGTCCACGGATCGGCCAGCACATCAACCACTGTAGATTTACTATTATAGATCATCTACGTTTGATAAATACACGTCAAACGTTGAAACGTTACTCATTCTTCTTATTTGCCCTTACAATACTTTGCCTTACGTCTACTTGCCGTAGAGAGCTCACGCTTTCGGAATAGTTCCAATCTAATCTGAGCGTAAAGCATCGAAGACGGAAATCCGATCGGCAAACAATGGAAGACGGCGGTAAGAATGAAAAGTCTTACGTAGTAGAATGTAAGTTACGATCGATGAGAAGTCGGGCGCACTTGTAACCATAAATATGGTATTCTGCCTGCAGGGAGTTGTATATACATATCTATAGGTATATACGTATAAGCGTCTGAATATGTCCGTATATAGAAGAAAATAACGGGTGGCACATATCGGACGATTCGGATACTCTCTAGATCATACGAAAGTATAATATATGGGATTCGATGAAAAATTAGTAAAATTAACAAAATTATCAATCCGTCTCCAGTAAGTCGACTGTGCCGATTCTTTGATTTACTTCGTGAGTGACTTCCGTAAGAGTAACTCGGAGCTTCTTCAAGCTGGCACCCTTCTCCGCGATACGTCTCACCCGTTAGACTGATGCTCGAATCGCAACTGAATGCGGGTTTTTTTCAAGGCAGCGACCTTTTCTGCTGGCGGTACATTGAAGCGGCTTGCCATACCCCATCAGCGACGTAAGCGTAGATTCGCGTGAGACTAATAAACTGTTATAGAGCCGAGGCACACTCCATTTCACGGTGCCCGAGGTTGTTTCGCGGTTGGCGTTTCCTACGCGCATTTGTCTATCCGCATATATGGAAACACGTAGGGGAGACCCTGGGATTTAGTTTGCGAACTCCATTGTGGGTGCCACCCCAACTATTTACTATCTACTATTTACCGACTATTTACTCCAATGTATATCAACCTGCCATCCGCGGCGAAGGTGTATACCGGTGCACAAAGACGTCCACTTATTCAGGCATGCTCGAATGCACTCGCCATTTCGATGCCCGATACCCAACGTCGTTCTCCGTGTGACGATCTCGAGTCGGTATAGAAGTTATCGGGTGTAACGATCTCGAGTTAAGAATACAGAAGAAACCAATGATTTCTCGGACAGGCAATTCTTACCCGAGTATAATAAATTTCGATGAGATCGTATCGCTCGAGAGACGTATGATTGCAATCTCCACTCATTCACTTTCAGTGCAGATCTTAGGATTTTTAGAAAAATCAAGTGCGGAGAATGGTATCGCATCACTTATGAAATTACAAAAGACGACTGCGTAGAAATATGAACATTCATCATGATTCCGGTCACGCTGACATTTCCAATTGTTATTTATTCGCGACTGCCGTACGGGAGTGGCGTGAACTGCCGAAGCGGAACGTCTCGTTCCTCTCAGTCGGTTGAGCAGTGTTAACATTAGAGGCGGAAGATCGAAGAGCAAATAGGCGGCAGCCTCCGGAGGTGTAGTTTTTATTCCCTTCCATTACCCTCGACCTTTTGAATGTAGTAGGATCATTACACATTCATGAAGATTATATGCAGTTAAGGCACGTCCTACGTAGGAAATTGGACTGAGATTGTCCTTATCACCATAAATCACATAACTGATATTACCACCTTTATACCGGCTAGTGTGAACGTGATACATTTATACGAGCTTCAATGAATTTTCGTATGTGACGATAAGGTGAATTTTTTTTTTTTATATTTTCTCACCCGTATCCATTGAAAGTCACCAGTACGTAAAACTCGATAAGGAAATTACAAGCTGGAACGCAAGTCCAGCCGTATCAATTTCCTGAGACTTTTTTTGGAATTTGATGTGAATCACGATATTATGATAAATTACGCAGTAAGCGAGCAAGTTCAAAACGGCATAAGGGATTCATTAGAAATTTATGAAGGTTTCAGAGGTGTCGGTTATAAATATTTCTCGAAGAGAAACTTACCCCAGTAAATAGTTACGCCGTAACGAGTCGTTCGCGTGCTGCGACGAGAAGATTTGAGTCGGCGTAAAATTGGAACGAGCGAGAAAAAAGAAACAAAGATACACCAAAGGTAAGAGCGGCGTCAAACTTTAGCAGGGAGAACGGGAAAGTAGGAGTAATTAAAAGAAATACAAGATTAAGTATACATATACATATATTTGTTCCCGTTTGATCAAGATCCTTTCAAGTCTCGAAATTGAAATGTTGTTTGTAAGGCTGAATCGTTCTTTGAGGAGTATACTCCTTCGGCGGGAAGTAATAAATACCTGTCGACAGTGGAAAATTATAAAGTGAAGCTCGCAACTGATCTTCGCCGTAAAGAAAAGACCCGCGCGCCACCTGCCGAACGTACAAGACACTATAAGATTCCTCATCAGCAAATGGCTATTATACCACTCTACTTCTGTGCAGACTTTTTTTCTCCAAAGCTTCAGCGGCGCTTTAGCGGACGCTCTGACGCGTGAAATTTTTCAAATTGCACGCGTAATCGTCATCGTGCAAATTGCAAAGCGCCTCGTATTGTTTCATCGAGCGCGATTTATTCCCACTTACGACAACGCTCTTCGTCTATCCTTTGTTTGTGTTCTTCGTGATCGCCTCATAATTCCTCGTGTTTCACGGTACCACTTGTAGCCGATACTTTCTTTACATTTTTTCACTTATAAGTACAGCCTCTTATTTATGCTACTCATTACGGCTCGTCGATCCCCATTTGCTAGGAAAACAAACGACGCCTGTATGCCTGGCGAACCTTTCTCATAAATCACGCTTTAATTTAATTACATTCGTCAACACGACGGCGAACGCCCGTTATTTCCATCAGCGCGGTAGTGTGTGCGTGCATTCACACCCCGGACGATATCGGGCCAAGTTACACGTGTACGTGAAACTGTGGATGCATGCGTGTATAAGCTCATACGCATTAGAGGCACTGCTGCCGAAAATCAGGCAATCCTTGATGCACAGCATCGCGACATTTTTTTACATTAAATCCGTACGAGTGTCTCGGATCGAAATTTACGATGTGGTTCAAAGTTCAATATCGGCAAATATATTTTTATTTAAATTAATAAATTTATTCAAATTAACCTATTAAATTTACATTAAACTTATTTAATTTGTTCTATTCTATGCGTGCATACGTACATGGAGCGGTGACGTCAGAAACGACCTCTATATGATTTTTTTGCGTTTTCCAAAAATTCGTTCAATTATTGATTCAGCTGCGTTCTCTATAAGATTTCGTTAGATCTGATTTTATCATTCCGTGTACGTGTGCTTAGGTGGAGCCACCTGACGAGCAACCTCAACAGTTACGAAATAACAGTTTAGACTAGATGATCGTTATCAAGGTAAGTAAATCATAGTGATAACTCTGTCGTACGATGGAACTTTGACGTGGATGAAATGCCAGTTTTCTCCAAGGTAATAGATGCTCGCGTGCCGTCCCTTTTGTCCATTCGCATTTCTATTTAAACAATAGCTCTAACGGCTTTAGACGCGGGTAAGTGAGGTTGATTGACCGTGCGGAATCAACGTAACATAACGTCGTGACTTCATTCATCGTAAATAAAGGATACTCTTACGAGCCCGGTTACAGGGTTGCGTTAGAAAAATACATTCTATGCGTGGTGCCATCAGAAGATCTCCTTTGAATCGTTGATTAACAAGTGCTACTGCCACTGAGACAGCACGCCATGCTCGAGTTTACTCTAACGTACGAAACATCTACATGTTACAAAATAAAGATGCTAACGTAGTTGGAACACAGGCTGATCTCATCATAGGAAATATCATTGCCTGAAGAGTTTCATGACCCTCGTAAAAGTTTTTTATGAGGTATCAAATTTTTCTCGGTAAACTGGAGAATTATAATTAATGCCCATAAATATTGTTTGCCATGTCATTTATACTACGCCGCTTTTCTTCTCCTTATTAATATTTTTCGACTTCCTCGTAAAAGCTTCCTCGATCTCCTGAAGAGTCTTGTCCTTTGTTTCCGGTAAGTAGAAATACAGGAAAATCGTACCGAGCAATGCTATTATGCCGTATACCGAGAAGGTTCCTTGAGCAAGAAGTTCCTCGAACATAGCCGGTACGGTTTTAACGACTACGAAGAAACACATGAATGCGAAACCGGAACTTAGACCAGAACCAAGTCCTCTGACCGACGCGGAGAATAATTCTCCACAGAGTAGCCAAGGCAGTGGTACCAAGCCAACGGACACGACGCACGTGTAAAGAATTAGGAGCGCAACCGGTAGGTAGGGTTTGCCAATATCCCAGAAAAGACAGACGCTGAGAGCGAGAAGTGCGAAGGACGATCCTAAACCGGAAACAAGGGCAAGTATCCTTCTGCCGTAATTCCTGGTGAGCCAGCAAGCAACCACGCTGAAGACCACGCGTATGAAGTCAAGCACGAGGGTGGCCGAATAGGCATTTTCAGGACCGGCAACGTCCTTCAACATTTTGACGCAATAGAAAGCAACAGCGTTGACGCCAGAAAACTGAGTCGTAAGAAAAAATACATTGAGGATGATCAGAGGCTTAAGAAATGTGGCGGATGTGATGACCTTCCACCAATTAGATTCATCGTTTGCCTTGACCTTCTGATCCACACTGGGACCATAGATCTTCTTATTCTTGAGCGACTCGAATTCAGCCACCGCGTGCTCACCTCGCAGATAGATCCAAGCAGTCTCAGCTTGGCGAGGCTTGTTCTTCCCCAGAAGCCAGGTAGGGCTCTCCTTGGAGAAGATGCAGAAGATGAAGCACAAGACCGGAAATACGCCACATACAAAAGCCGCCACCCTCCAATGGAGCCACGTGCCCAACATGTGAGATATCAGAACGCCGATCGCAATGGCTAAACTGATGCCAGCCAACAAGATACCACGAAGATGAGGATGACTCGTTTCCGCAACGTAAACCGGACCTAGCGGACCGTGGAGACCGACGCAAAGGCCACAAAGTAGCCTCCCGACGATTAGCCAAGTCATGTCCGACGCCAGCCCCACAGTGACCCAACCGGCCAGAAAGATCGGACTTGTAATCAAGTGGGAGACCTTTCTTCCAAACCTTTCCATGAGGATTCCAGAGATCCAGCAACCCGGAGCCATCGTCAGGGCAGCAGCCGCCGCTATCCAGGATTCCTGCTCCGTAGACTCCACGACGATGTCCTGAACGCCGTCGAAGCTGCCGTTGGAGAAGCTCGTGCCGTTGCCGTCATCGGGTTTAAGTTGAGGAAGCAGTACAGCACTGTAGCCTGAAGTCATGCCTGCTGCTATGGTGCCCATGATTGGTCCAAGTGCGGTCAAGGACTGCCTCAGATACAACTTCAGCTCGCTCTCTTGTATCTTCTTCGGCGGCGCGGTACCACTTTCCACTGGAGTCCCCATCAGCGCCATACTCTCCGGTCTGTCTGAAGGTAAATTACCGCTAGTCACTAGATCAGCCGCATTAACATTCGCCATTGTCACACAGCTGTAAAACGCCTCGGCGCTTCGACACCGTTAACAGGCACAACTACACCAAGAGTTCTGTAATTTGAGAGAAAGTACAGCGATAGAGTGAAATCGAGAAAACGCTATCCTTAAAAACGTCCCGGCTTTTTTTTCTCTCTATCAAAGAAATCGCAATCGCAACGAGAAAACTGTACCGATCTCTCTATTACAGAAGAAGTCCTTCGAAATCGCAGAAGGAAGAAGCCACCGTTGTAAAATTTCAATATACTTCTTAACGAATGACTGTCCTCATCTGTCTGTCCTTATTAATAATAAAAGTATCGTCTGTATAATAGGTATACCTTTCAAATGGCAATCGTTTATATGAACTTGAAACAATATCAAGAATTCGGTCCTCTCAACCTCCAAGATGCGTCCTTACGAGTACAATTTTAAGAACTACGCAGAACGTCGTCTGAATGCTGCTAAAGTATCTTTGCTGCTACATCTTTGAGAACTCTCTCTTTTAGCTGACGACGGACCACGTGCCCCCCACGAATATGGAATCCCCCACTCGATGTGGCGCCATGGGGGATCCGCAATGAGCGACATTAATCAGTGAAAATATGATCGCTCGCAAATTACTCCGAAGTCTGATCACACATGACAAACTTCATGACGCGCATTTCACTCGCGATAGACTCCGACGACGATTGTCTCGTCTACTATAAATTAACCTCAATGCTTCTTGTTACCGCGACGTACGCTGCAGTAGCGATAAATATTTATGGAGACTTTAAGCGTGCGAAATCCATTCCCTACCCTAGACATATATCTGCACGTAGACATATAGCTACAAGTACTGTTCTTATCAGTTCCCCCACGCGAAGACGTAAATACGTCGGTTATTGCCAATATATCAAATACATCAATAGACTGAAATGTTAATTGCCACTATTTGTTTTTCACGCATTCGTCATACTACTACGGCTACCTTCTTCTAATCGAGCGTTTTACGTGCGACCCACGAGATCGTGTACTGTTTTCCTGGTACTGTTGTGTTTTCCAATCGATTTCTCACGCGGGAAGAGCAACCGAATGCGACGTTTGATCGCTTCAAGAGAGAAATGCCAGGTGCACCTTATACATAGAGGCTTACCGACCGGTTGATATTGTCAGGCAAATCAATGCTTTGGAGATTTACAACACACGTAATGTCACTATTCAACGGTGTAAATTTTATTCAATAGGAAAATGCCACGCGCGTTCTGCTTCTATTCGTGTATTTTTCACGAGATAGATGCCAGGCAATCTAACAGGATGCTTCTACCGCGATTAAAAGCTTGTTCTATACTGATAATGCCGAGTGAGAATATAAGCAGACTGCCAGTCACTACCAAACAACTAACACACTGGCAACGTCGTCGGGAGGGACGTCACTGTGAGATTCTAAAGGTCAAGTATCAATCCGCTGATGTATAAAACATAATTGATCTTAATTTCGAGATGCAGACAAATATGGAAGATCTATTACATAATTGTTATCTATAATCAGGATCATGTGGGGTCTGATAGGATGATATTAGGTTATACTACCGCGTACTACTGCCATTATACTGAAACTTATGAATCGATACTAGATTATAGAATATTTTTTACTTACAAAAAATTAATCTACGACCATACGCAATGCGTATTTATGAATATTTCTAAGCTAATGTTTTCATTTGATTTTTTTGCAAAAAAAACTGATTAATACAAGTTTCATCTTTGTTCTTGGTACATTAGACTTATCGCACAAGACAGCAATACTTGTTACGTAACAATGGTGCCATCGACTCACGTTCAGATATACGGGCGGAGATGAGTTCATTTACACGATAATACAAAAACAGTCGCATTGGCACATATTCCGGTTATGATAAATATAACAGAAAATTATGAAAGGTATACCGATAAAAAATATTTTGCTTGAGTTTCATCAAAGCTGTCGCTAATGCCATGTCTGGTGTCGGCGACGAAATTTGTTTGACACGGCAAACTAGTGATATGGTTAGAACAAATACCCCCTGCGAAATGTTGATTAACCACTCATACATACAGCAAATGCCTAGTTAAACGTATATCAAACTATCAATATTGGTTTGTGTAAATAACGTAAAACGCTTATGTATAAATTATCAAGCTAATGACTTAAAATGTACATTGCTAAACATCAGACGATAAAATGTTTTATACACGTCGTGTCAGCGAAATAGGAGAAGTCGGGGTAGCGGAGTAATATAGAACATTAGGCAGAAATTATAGATTACTATAGCATGAAGCAGGCACGCATCTGACACGGCGGCGGAGAACGCCGTCACAGTCTGTAGACGGCAGCGCTGGGGAACAGGAGTGATGCAACTTTCTTCTGGATGATGTTCCGTTCTTACCCGTCCCGTTCGTAAAGTCCCATTGTTTCAAGCCAGATGAAAACAAGAGGTATTGTATTTAGCGCAGAAAGTACGTCTTTTCCATCCGGAATTACATCATTGCGATGTCTCCGTCAATACGCCAACTGGTCGTTACGGCTCCTTTGATCGTGGTAGTTGAAGGTACATTATTGAATAAAGAAAAAAAAAAATAATTTTTATACACGCATATGATTCGTACTTGACACAAGGAGTAATGGAAAAATTATTTAGAGTTATATAGGAATTCTCTTTGCTGACTTCTCGACTTTTCTGGTCCCCGAGGAGAATTATACAGAAGAGATCTTACGCGGGTATGCTGTGAGACCAACTGAAAACCCAGCGAATTTCTTTCCTTATTTATACATTTCGTTAAGAGTCGACAAGGGTAGAAAGGTTCAAAGTCGAGGGCTCCTACGCGAAACCTTAATCCGTTGCCTTCTGTCGGACGGGAGTTCAAGAGGAAATAAAGAACTTGAAATTCTCGTGAGCTTGCCAATTGCGCAAGCTGAGGAAAACCAAGGAATCAGCACGGTAAACAGGTCGTCCAGTAAACTCCTCAATTCCATTACAATCTTAACTTTGATGTACGGTAAATACCCAGCTGAATATATGTTATACACCTTTATATAGGTATATCGAATGGGTGAGATTTACCATGATCTTTAATCTGGACTGAGGACTACTCGGGAGCTTAATACAAAAGACATTTTTATAATTTACCCTTAGACTCGATATAGTCTTGCTCCAAGTGAACAGCAAATCGAGGGTTGGAATCTCTCCTGGACCATCGGAAAGCGGTTTGCTTGATTATAAAAATTCTCGAAAATTTATTACAATTTTTGTATAATCAATATAGTCCGTAAATGTAACACAACAATATGTCAAAAAATTTACACGCGTCATACAGTAGAAGATTGAAGTCTGATTTAAATTTGGCATTATTCTGATGTTGGCAGCCGCGCCGACATCATTCTCCGTCGTAGGTTTTCCCACAGTGAGATTATTTGTTCTCGTCAGATTTTCACCACCTCTCAATATTTTCCTAAAGATATTCATGCGCCTTGTTGGAACACGCGGCGAGGGAAAGATTGATATGACGTGACTAAAAAGAAAACATCTGAACGAGGGTCGTTGGCGGTTCTTTAGAGATTCACGAAAAGCATGGAAGTCGCTAGAAGGAAAGTTTCTTTGCGAATAAGGTGAGGAAGTCCTCAACAAATTGCTAAAAAAAATCTTCGGCTCGATTGTGAGGCTCTGACGAAGTCGATGCGAAAGAGGGAAAACCTTTTGAAAGTCCCTGAAGTTGAGGGTGACTTTGATGACACGAGTGTCGGTGTGAGTTGATCCATAACGTAACATACGTTTCAGTAAGGGAGAATCAATCTCAACGGTAAGTATAAGGTCAGAGTTTCGGTTTGAAATGGCTGCAAAATCCCCGGCTTAAAAGTAAACTCTAAACAAATTTTTAGACTCTCATACACTGGCAGTGAGTAGATACGCGAGAAAAAATAATCAGTTACCTAATCGCACGAGTGACTTGATTTTATTTTTTTTTTACTTTCATATGTCTGCAAAGTTACGCACGACCCCCCTTTGTTTGCGTGCCGCTTGTATAATTTAGAATCCATATATCAATGTTATGCTCTGCACTGCGTGCTCTTCAACTTGTTGCCAACTGTCGTGATCTTTATTGGTCGTTTCTTGCAAAGTTGGCAGTGCCGCTCGAGCTGCGAAGCCAGAAGCAGGTTTGTGCGTTGGTATAGTACTGTAATATTAAAAAGGGCTTAACTTAGTATAGGGTAGTTTTAATTCATACTGGTTATTTTTTTTTTGATTTTGGTAATCATACGATTCTAGACTCCCTGTAAATTCCAATAAGTCAAATAGAAAGTTTTCGAACATTATTGCTTCATGGACCTTGGGTCGGGACGATTTGCTGGCATCAGTGAAAACATAGGCATGAACGAAAGAAATATTCTCGAAGATCGAAAAAAGGGATCGCTAGATTGAGAGGGTGAAGATACGTGGGTTTACATAGATATGTGCAAAGCCAATAGTGGATTGAAATTTAGAATAAGGAAAAAAAGAGAAGGGAAATAGGTATATCTTCCCTCTGTTCAGGATTTATCGACAATTGGCTTTCTATAATCCAGCATCCTTTCCCTGGAGTATAATAATAGGACTGGCTCTGATCCTGTATTCGTACAAAAAAGGAAATGGCAATAAGGATAAGGTTACGGCACTGTCACGAGTTCACATATTGTCATTAATTATACCTCGATGTTTCTATTGCCGGTAGTAAACGTCAGATTAAAACAACTTGTTTTACTGCGCATGCGCAGACCCACTGCGCATGATAACTATATCGATACTGCATCATATAAATTGTCATGGATGGCAGCTCGAAACGACTTCTAAAGCATTTCTCAGTGACTTCATAATATTCGTACTTGATATACTAAATATATATCCGTTCCTGGACGACACTTCAAACCAGTTCATTAAGAAGTGGCATTCAGTAACATTTGCATGATACTAATGTGATTGAAAAGGTATCGGGTGGCCTAGCTATTAACATTACAAAGGACACTGTCACGATTAGCATATAAGGAGCAAAAAATTATTCCATCGATCCTGCCAGGATTCGAACCTGGAATCTTCTGATCCGTAGTCAGACGCGTTATCCGTTGCGCCACAGGACCGCTGCTACAAATATAAACTATCGCGCCCTTCCCGTGGGCTAACATGGAGTTTTAAATTTAGACGCCTTACGTATCCGAGTTAGATGCTCAAAATGAGAAGTACATGTAAGCGTGAATTCTGAGTATCTTGATAACAGACACCAAGGCGCAGGTCACTGAAACCGTGTCTGATAAGAAGAGTTCCAGATTTATAGAGCTGATATGAACATTGATAGGCAATATATGGAAATATGCTTTACGATAACGTGTAGGAATGTATGTGTTCCTGAAGCGTTGCTCATAATCGTATACCATCAATCCGGTATGGTCTAGTGGCTAGGATATCTGGCTTTCACCCAGGAGGCTCGGGTTCGATTCCCGGTACCGGAATATTTTTTACTTCTGAAGCAATGTCTAAAATTTGTTAAAATTAAATTTTTTTTAGACACTCGGAATAGAGGGATTTTTGAGTTGGAGCAAGACAAATTTGGTATTAAAATTAAAAAATTCAAGATAGTCAATTCGCTATGGCCACTGTAAAATGTGGTAGTTTTATGAGAAATCATGTATTATCTCCCGCTTTTAAATATTTGTTCTAGGAGTAACAGATTTTTTTATTTTATACGTTAAAAAAGTTATTCGGAAATTTTTTTATGTAATTATTGCTTTATAACCGCATAAAACTCTTTTTTTTTTTAATTTTAGACCAAGAAATCTAATAAATAACTAGCACGATAAGATGAACGAAACTTTTTTCCCAATTTGACAAATACTTAGACAGTCCTTGCCCTGGTATGCACGAAGAAACTAATGTATACGAACTGGCAAAGAAATGAGGGTCATCGATCGAAAAAAGTTAGTCTATTAGAAGCCAGACGAGGCTGTTTGAGAAGTTAGAAAGACTCGAGAATATCTGCACAACGGTTTCAACTCCTCAGACATTGCCTTCACTTTTCAAGACAAAAATTTTGCTTTCCGCCACTTCTAACCACGATATTCAGAGAAGCTTCAGGGGGTTTTACTGTGCGACGAGCAACTCATTCCCTTACTCACAAAGTTTATTAACCCAGCATGGAGAAAAAAAAGTAGATCCTAATGGTAAAAATGGGTAAAAAGTTCAAAAGACAATATGTATAAAGGATGGACAAAAATTTGTACTGCAGACTACCAAAATGTATACTACATTCCTTCGTAAAGGCTCATACCAATCAAACAAAAACTTGGTTCCTATTCCAAAGGGTCCTACTTAATTTGATTTTCATCTAAATAAGTATGCTAGAAAGCTAAACAGCACAGGTACATCCTCATGTAAATTTAGCCACTCTCCTCCGACGACACTGCTTGCCCGACCACAAGCCCGACCACAACCATGAAGTTCAAAAACCTTAACTACCATCCATCAACCTCCGTATCACCCTCTACAAATTTAGCATTGACCTCAGACTCAAGACCCCTTCTTCCCGTAGAATATATCACTATCGAGCGTTCAGCGCGCCATAAACTATTAAGGTGTTCCAGGTGTCCGCTACGACCTTATATAAAAGTCAGGCAAGTTTTCTTTGTTTGCCCAAGCAACGATAATTTACTGTACAAAAGATTCGTATACCTACAAGAAGTAAGGTGTGCAAGAGAATTTTGGTATTTGAAAATTTTTTTAATAATCCCAGCTATGAAAGAACGAAATCTCTAGTTAAATCTTTTATAGTAAATGTCATCGCCGGAGGGTATCGCCGATGTCTATTCTCGAAGTAAATTCAATCACCATCAACGATATACATAGGAAATTGGGATTCGCATTCGCTCTAGAGGGAATAGAGATTTCTAAAAGTTCAATGGAGTCGAACAGCGAAAGGATGTGCATAGGATAGACGTCGTTGCAGCTATTCTATATAACTATTGAACATCAACCGTACGACTATAATTTCCGGCAGCTTCCATGGCGATTCGTTCGGGTTTTAGTCTGTAAATTATCCTATATAGGTAATACCATTATCCGCGGATGCATACCGGTTGGAACAAAGCGGGCTAGGATAAACGAGCAGCCCTCACGCCATCGAGATAGAACTAGGAGACGCCCTGTGCCCTACGACGCCCAGCACTACTTCCAAGGAAATTGCTCTGGCCAGAACAGCCAACCTAAGCTGAGGCGCTACCATCTGGAAAATAAGCTATATCACTTCCATTCCGGCATAAACGTTGCGTTTCAATTGCTGCTCAACAAACTGAAACTTACTTGCTGAAGAAAATAGTGTGTTGATGCCTTCTGTGAAGCCTCGCAGTTACCGAGGGAAATCTACATAATATGACTCGTCGAACATCTTCCTCGGCTTACCTGGAACATGAAAAATTTATGGTGAAAATTATGTTATGCAAGATACAATATATGTATATCGAATATTTATGTGAAATAAATTTAAACTAATTACTCGATTGCGAATCTAACCCAAATCTGGTGTATGGCAGATTTGGTAAATCGATTTTTTGAAACATTTTGATTCATAAAAAAAACAATTATCAGAGTAGATATAAACAAAATAAATGTTTAAAAAGTGATATTTACTATCAAGGAATAACTGTAAAATATCGGTATCTTTATCCTACCAAGTCATGCGAGAATTCAAGACCTGTAGCCAAAGACTCGAAAGAATAATGAGCACAAGCCATGTTATTTATCACAATTCGCAATATTACCACCTTATGCTATGATCCAGGTAGAAAAAAAAGACAGAGACAGCTGAGCAATTGTCTCTGCACAAATCAGCAACGAATCATACTACCTGGGTGGTACTGATAAATGAGTGTTTTTTCTCGTAAATTGTACGTATTCAGAAGAAGAAATCCGAGTATAGTTTAATATAACGACGCAATCGCATATTACTACGAAAAAGATAATCTAGACATCTTTTTCCAGAATTTCGTCATTTCATATGATATACCGTAAAGCGAGGAGCAGTCGAAATATCAAGATAAAAAATGCCAGATTGGCCCCGGAAAGGTGGCCAAATGCGCGGTACGAGTTTTCAGTAATGATTGTAAGTATTTACACTGAATTCCTACCCATCTACCAATGTTAAGAATTGGAAGATAAAAATTATTAGTAAAATTTACAGGGTACGTCGGCAAGGAATCTATAGAAGCCATTGCCGTAGGCCCAATGTGAGAAATTAAGGTAGGTGTACCTGGGGCGCCAGATCCTTCTTCTCCCTGCGCGCTGCTTCTGCTCTCGTATACCTGCCACCTTCGTTCTCCCTCGACATCCTCCCATAGCGTAATATAGCAATTTTTCAGGGGCATTGCGTGCTTCTGCAGCGTAATTCAAAAATGGAAAATATCACGTGATCCTAAATCTACAGCTGATTACGGTTTATTACGCGTAAACACGCCTCCGTGAGGAAGGCCTGCTGTACCAGCGACATGACCCCCTTCAATTTTTTCATAGAACGGATGCACGTGCCAGCAAATAAGTATTAGATATACAGACATGTAGCATATGTAAATCGCGCGTGCCAAAAGCAAAGCCAAACTATACGTCGTCAAGTCTGTCCTAACATACATCTGTATCAATAGAATGAAAAACGTAAATCTAAAATAGAAAAAAAAAAAAACTTGAAACTTGGATTGTAAACATTTTCCAGAAGTCTCGTTTAAATTTAAACGAAAATTTTTGTTACGATAGCTTGGCAGAAAATGTCCTTTATAATTTGGTTTAAATCCACAAATCAATATAGAAATACAGCATTTAAGTTTTTTATTGATTTAACAATTGCACATGATTGTTATAAAATATTGCGTCACCGTAAAATAGGGCTCCAAAAGTCATTTGTTGATCGTCAGTTCATGGTAAATCTTGAAATTTTTTCATCAGTTATTCACATCTTATATAAATTCCATATAAAAAAATGCCCACTGTTTATAAATAAATAAAATTATTCTTCCCTGTTAGAAATTGAATCCTGGTGGAACGCATGACTAAACAGACTGCAAACCTATATATATACAAACCTATAATTACATACTGCTCAGGAATAATAACGTTTTTTATTCATTTGGTAAGTGTGTCAAAACGTCTGTCGTTTAATATTGAAATACTTGCAATTATTATGGGATATAAAATTCTGAAGGGCTTACTGAACGAGTAGCATCGCTGCTATAGTGGGCGAACCCTAAAATCAATATACGAACATATAACTCCTCCGTATCACTCCATTAGCAACGTATATCTATTTCAATGATGTCAACCTATATGACAAAATATTGATCTATGTTCCGAGAACAGCATCCGATTTATATATGACAGTGGTATGGGCGTTAGTTAATTACGTAAAATTTATCATCGAACGTATACGATTACGTCTATTTGATATGCGGCAGCACTCAAAACTCATACATCAGACCTAATTGTTGAATATGTAACAGTACGGCTCCTATCCACCTTGCATATTTACCTCGCAATTATTCTCTTAACTATCGTCAACACACACGGAAAGCACCGGACACAAAATTCGCCATTAACCCGTCACTCTTATCAGCCCTCCAATTCACCCTGTAATTTTTTCATTAATTTTGCAAGGAACCCGCCAATGAGCCATCCCTGTGATTTTTTGTTGCTTCGAAAATTGAAAGTCTACAAACGTCACGAGTTGGCAAAACATGCCCGAAGCAAGCGACAATAGACCGTCCGTCCTCCCACATCGTTGCACTCAAAAGAGGTTTGTGTTCATGCATCGGCCGTAATGAAAAGAGCGTTTTGTTAGTTGTGTCCATAAAGCTATGACTACGTTATAAATATTCTGAGCCAGGATTCAGAACCCACCCACGATACTGCACGGGGTTTGTGTGCGTCCTGGCAGTAGCGTAGATACATACATGGTACTTACAGGCAGAAATGGATACAAGGAATCCGTTGATACGTAAGAGACGTCCAGTGATGCCAGTTAGACGAGAAGCGAGGCAGTCCTGCTTTTAACGACGGATTTCAAGTAGAAAAAGGTCTACGGTCTCTGGTTTAATCGAACGGCCATTCGATTCAACGATAAGTGCACTGGGTCTTGCGGTCATTTTCTTTACAGGGGACGACGTAATTTCTCAGACGTCATCGGCCTACACTTAGGACGAGGTATGGCGAGGGTACGTAGAACAACGAGTTCGGCCGTTCACCAAAGGGTAAGAAAAGATCTCTCGTCTCCGTGTCACCGCACCCAATAACACGCGGATAATCACGATTTAATGGCTCAATAACGTCTGCCACTGCGCCTTACTATGGTCCTCGAAACAATTTATCGGTCCCGCCAGTCAATAAATTCACCTTTTGAGTTGTATACGAGCCTAAACTGGTCCCACTGCTGGTTTAGTACCTGGCGATAAACCTACTGAATTCCAAGGGAGAAACTGCATGTATAAACAATAAGAACACAAGTAAGATATATTAAAATCACAAGTAGTTACCTAATGAGTAATCGTTAGAATTCCCGCACAGTGCCTACAGCAGATGTCTGAATACGATTAGGACTTGTGCGGACATACTGCGTAGATTGCCGACATGAAGATTTACATTGTAATACAATGGTATATGATGTAATAAAAGATACAGATAATTTTCATCGAAAAAGATTGCAGTTTCCGCTAACAGTTTGTAACGATAGTGTGATAAAATTAGACTAAATTATGAAATCACAAAAATAATATCACCGCTATGACACGGATCGCAATCCAATGCAAAGAAAAGTACAAAAATTGTTTACAGAAATAGTTTATCCTCGACAGTGGATACATCCAACCTAACTTTACCATTTTCTAAATATTTTACCAAACAACAATGTAACAAAATGCACTCAGATTATCGGCAAACACGAAAAATTCACGATCTTCCACTGCTAATCAGACTACTCGCTCAAAAACAATGAATCGTTAATCGAGCATAGAAAGTGAAGAGAAAAAACAATTAAATTTGCAAAAGGCATGGAAATATGTTTACAAAGTATCAATTATTCAAAAAGCAAGCATTCCCTCTAGACGAACTCACTCCAGTTCACAAGGTATTGTACTTTCTTTCCATTTACTTGGTGTCCGCATCTCCAAATAACAATGTGCAGTGCCACGGTATCGTTCACTATTCATATTCTCCTTCTTCAATCAGGATAAAAAAGAACACAAGACACTTCAGGACACGCGACTGCACTTACATTAGCGTAAACTATATCCCTAGTGATTTACTAGTCACGTACTTTTCTAGCGCGTCTTAAAATTCGCCACTAGCGCCTGTCCTATCCATAGCGGCGTGTCAGCGATCTATCTATCTGCGGCTGAGTCGCTAACCTTGCTTCCTTTCCTTACGGCTGTATTGCCAATGGGGGACATGTGCCAGGAGTCGCTAACCAGTACAACTTCCTATAGATGGACACTGAATCGTCATAACCACCATTGGCCGGGTAGCGACGCTCTATTTTAAACCGCCGTCCGTAGTTCTCACGCAGTACCGGAGCGCTGCAATCGCATTCACCTCCTATTGGAACGTCTTAGCGAAAAGGAAGCTATACTGGAAATAAAATATATCTATCCTTCCATTGTGCGTATCCAAGATGGCTTCCCAGAATCCAAGATTTTCTGATGACATCTCATGTCAGGTATTATTGCTGAACATCAATTTGTGAGGCTGAAGAAAATGATACACGTCCTTGGGAATCCTAGTTCGTTCCGTCGCAATTTTAATCATCATTCGCTGCATTCTGCCTTTGCTGGATGATAGATGGTGTCTTTTCATCCGCCGGTAAGTGTAATATGTACATACATACGTATCAGAGATCGGTAAGAAAAGTGAAAGAATTTGATAGAAGTAATAATTAGTTTTCAATGCCATAATATATTACTAGTGTCTCTCGTGAATTGTGTATAGTCACTGTAGTCTACATTCTGAAATTCATTACTGTAGGCGTTCAAGGAATCCTCGTGTCTCTACTTATACATATAGATACGTTTGATCGAGATACAAGAATACTCTCTGCACTGTTAGGTAATTTGAGAGCGTAGTTTAAATTAATTTAGCATAGCTTTCAAGTCGATTAAATTTAGTTGTAGAACTTATCAAGCTATACTAAATTGATATTATCGTAAGTACAATCTTATACGTTATTTTTTTTCGACCAATTATATAAAGCCTTTTACACACAAAATAACATAACGACGTAAGACGTAAGTGTAAGGAAACCAACTAATCAAAATCTAGTACTGTCCCTTTGGGACAGGGGGAGTACTAGATCCTTAAACGGATTGTGAAATAGATTCGTAAATGGATGAACAGAAGTTTCGAGAACCTAACTCATAAGTAGTGATATGCCTAGAGGCATTTATCGCCAGGCGGTCTAATAATTTAATTACTTTAGATGACTTTTGTTTTGTAAAGGTTTCCAATAATTAAATGAGACAGTGATACGTTACAAATTACATATGAGTGTATTCAACTGTCACATGGAGATTCGATTCCCTGCTTGGAAAGATTCTTTATCTGTAAAATTTTGTTTATCCCGCCTGCAACGATAAACCAGATTTTCTTCAAATAAAAAGTTTTTGCTCAAACAAGTCGTTATATAATATTCCACAGTTCAACGGAGAGTAAAACATTGCAAGCTCAGCCATCAACGTCAGCGTCATTATACTCGTAGTTATAAACTATTGAAAGCCATAATGTTTTATTTTTTCACTTTCAAACAACTTTGCTTCTTGCCATACAAACTCTTTTTATTCGACGTCGATTACGATTCGCCTCTGGCGCGTTTATTTGCTCGTTAGTAAGTCACTGCGAGACAATTGGTCTATGCATGTATTAAGCTTTTGTCAGATTGATTAATGACTTTCGAAGTACAAGCATCTAATACCGGTTTAATAGAAAGTAAAATAAAAAAGTTTATGACCAAAAAATTATCGTTCGAATCTATTACAAATGAAATAGATCGATATAAAATACTGACAGCTCGATAAACATCGTTGGAAAATTATTAATTCCGTATAAAAATGATGCCGAAAATAATATCGAGCTCTTACAAGAATACAAAATAAACTCTATCGTTGGTCATTGGCGAGCAAATGAAATATTTTTCCTTTTTGAATCTACTGCTGCTATTGTTTCCATAAATTTGTTGCTGCACAATGAAAAATAATTTTGTAACGGAATCATCACAGTTATGAAGACTAGGATTGAACGAACGGCCATTGTGTAAATAACGTGGGCCAAATATTTCTAGTAATTCGAACCGGCAGTTACAGACGTTACCGACAGCGTTGACGAATGCACCAATAGCATTGCGTGCTGAAACTATTGATGAATGGATATACCGAACTGCAGTAGTCCCACCGCCCGTCGATACCTGCAGATCAGATAGACAGGTGAATGACGCAATCATGACCGTATTGTACAATCTCACAGGAGGTACATTAATTAATTAAACGTCACATAATTCCTCGTCACCAGTCGTAGTTTCACCGTTGAAATATCTTCGTAGATATAATTTAAGTGTCCTAGTATAAACTGTCTCGGTTCATATTGACTCGTCACAAGCTCGTTAGTTATACAAATCCCGATACATCTTTTAGGTCGTAAAATAAATCCAAATGTCTTGAAGTTAATGACGCGTCCCGAATTCCTTTAAATACAAATTGAACTTACAGAGCAAGAGAATGCACGGATAATCAAGGAGAAAATTTTACGCTGGGAATCGTAATACTCATAACT